CAGGGCGTCCGTCCGCTCGGGGAGATTCGCCGTCGCGCAGCTGATCCAACACGGCGGCACTCGGATCGGGCTGCCGCCCGCGGCCGGACGGGTTCTCCCTGTCAACCGCTGGCTGTTAGTTATTCCCATCCCTGATACCAAACATTACCGGGTCGGGAGCGCCCTGACTGTCGGAGGAGTCGCTTCTCGGCAGAAACTGGGAACGGTGGAGTCGGACTCGCTGTGGATTTGTCCGGGCATTTGTCACCTGCCATTATTTGTCTAAGGAAATGTGTTCGACAATTTCCAGTTTTTTCCTTAGATCTCGTGGTGGACTTTAGCCTTTTAATAAATGTTAGTATATCAGATCGTGTCCTTGACAGTATTTTACTTGTATGAACCATGATAAAACATTAAAATCTTCATACTCTTCAGGCAGAAGTGTCAATAAACGAGAAAGAGAAGCATAGCATACGATATATGTCAAAGTAACGTTCCTTTTTAGCTTTCTCATCAACAGTAAAAATGTTTACAATGTATGCCAAGATCTTCAGTTTCTGTCTAACACCAGTTAGAGGTTCTGATCTTAACAGAAATTGTGTTATAATGGCCTCAGCCTCGTTGCTAGGAAACAATAGATCCCAATTTTTTTATTCCTGCTCTAACTCCTGTGCTGAATAGTGACTGGATACTGTACAGGTTTATGTTATATGGCTGCAGTTAAATGGTCTGATGCATTTTGCTCTGGGTTTCAGACCAGAAGCATGCATTTTCTACAGGAACATCCCAGCAACACGCTGTAAATATTGAAAGTTAATATATTATGTGTCGATATTTGAAAAAGAAAGTACTTTGACTATTTCATTTTTAAAAAATAAAGGTGCAAACTGATGGCATGTGACGTTGCCTTTGTTTACATCATGTATTTGGGATATTCTGGTCGTGTCAGTAAAAGGTGCTTCCATACAGCTAAATAAGGGCTTCAGACAATATTGGTTGATTCAGAAGTTGCGGGGCGGGGGCTTGGTAGCAAGATTTGATTTTACTTCTGATTCACCAAAGTTCATGCATATAATTCTGCAGGTTTCACTGCAGGAGAAATCACAGGCAGTTTCCGTGCACATTTCATCAGAACAAATGTGAGAGAGAAAAACAAAAAATTCTGCTAAATGCCTTTGCACTCCCAAGAACTGAGTGGGTGAAGTCAACGGTGGTGGTAGGGGACGAGGAGCAAAGGTTAAGTACCTGCACGTTCTGTAGAGCTGCCTCAAACAGATGATGAAGAACGACCGTGTGCATCAAACGTGTGTGCGTGAGGAAAAATAAGCAGCCCAGCGCACACAGCAGGGAGGAGGAGACGGTGAACCGGAGGGGCACAGGGAGTGTTGAAGGCTGAAGGAGAGGTTACGTGGTGAAAAACATATTGGAGCAGCTGGGCTGGTGCGAGGGCTGAGGCTGGAAGGGCTGCGTCGGGTGGGTGAGAAGGAAGCGAGGCGAAAGGGGTGCTCTGGTAGAAAAGGGAAGAAAACCAGCTTGGGAGACGGTGCTGATTTAGTGCTGCGGGAGGTCTGGCACGGCCGTAGCCGGGGAGCAGGGGCACGGCCGCAGCCGGGGAGTAGGGGAGGGCTTCGTGGAGGCAAACCCAGAGCTGTGGCAGGATCAGTCGCTGCAGAGGAGCGGCACTGCCTTTGCTGGGGAGAAGGCAGAGCAGGGAGGGCCGGGGCAGGGGCCAGAGTCCTGCGGGGAGCAGCAACATCAGCTGGCAGAGCCGGG